GTGTCCATACGTAATGGAGGCCGAAAAAGATTATGCAACGCATCTAATACAGTTTAGTCACCAAGTATTATTATATGCGGAGGTCTATCCATTGAAGATACGGCTGCATAGGAACGATTGCGAGCCTTTTCTTACTTTTTCCTTACAAATATACGTTTACCTATATCTATTTCGTATTTAAATTTCATCGCGCATGCTGAAGGTGTTGGAATTTGTAAGTGGAAATCGGTGAATGATTTATGTGTGAGTACCGCGAGCATGAGTATGTGTCTGCAGTCGTTGTTATACAGAATTACGTCTGGGTAATAATCATATTACTGTGGATGTCTACTTTAGTACATATCACATACTTCATTTTGAAAGGCGGAACTAGTGGCAGCAGAAGAAAAAATCAGCGCAGATGAAGAATTGTATAGGACAGTCGAGAGATCCCGGTAGATCATTGACTGGGGCGAGAAACAGTATTAGAACCGGAATGGAAGCCTTGAGGGAGGTAAAGTGGTGTGAATGGGAGCCTTCTGCTGGACGGGAAGAGTCCTGCTACTCGAGGTTACAAGGAGTTTAAGGCAGAAAGCCATGTTGGCGGTACTTTAAGATTGAATTACTAGGTAAGTGATCAAGAGGCAACTTCTTTACTACTCTCTCCGTGATCTTCACCACTGAAGACATTAGGGGGATTCGTCTGTAGTTAGAGGGAAATAGTTTGTTTCAACCCTTATATACTGGGACGACAGCCACCCGTTTCCAATCACAGGGTAACCTACCTACTGGAAACGAGCATCTGAAGAGGTTTTCTGGAAGGGCACTAAGAACATCGCAACCTTGTGTAAACCCCATCACTTCCTGAATACCTACCCGGGTTTAAGTTCCCTAGGATTCTCTTGATAACAGAAAATTCGCTATTCATCATAACACGACGGGAGAAACTAATAAACATGCGCCTATATTTGGCGTAAATTTATTCAAAAATACAGTTTCCGCTTAACTTCCTTCGAACGGAGTTTCCAAAGCAGAAGTTCATTGACTGCATCCACCTGCCTCCATTTCACCAGACACGCCAGCAACGAACCACCTCCTGGTAAGTATAACTTCATGGATTGACTTGAAGAATGTAAGGAAGCATATTTCAAGCTCACTTTACAACACCCAACTTTTCTTCCAGCCTGCTGAACCGACTGATTTCTTTGCGCCTGCTTTTACGTCTTGCGGGACACTTCCAGATCTTCGATGCAGTGCGTCTCTCTGCTCACCTGCTAAAGCAGTTTTCACCTGTTTTGCACGAGCCAACCCGTTTTAAAACAGAAAAATATCCAATATCGCACAGACTAAAAAAGGGAAAATAAATAGAAAAAATGGGAAGTGACGGGGAAGCTCAGTGGTAAAATAAAACGGCACACGTAAGGAAAAGAAACCGACTTTCCCCTGTTGCACTTTTCCCCATTTTTGTCTGCTTTTCTCACCTTAAGTAGCTTTCCTCTTTCGACCCACACAGGTTGAAAGGGTGGAAAGCAGACAAGTAAACATACATATGTTTATTCAAAAGTACGGTTCCCGCATAACCTCCTTCCGAACGGAGTTTCCAAGCAGAAGTTCATTGACTGCATCCACCTGCCTCCATTTCACCAGACATACACCAGCCAAAAGAACGGCTGTTCTTTGATTTTCTTCTATACTTCATTTACTACGATTGACGGATTGACTTGAGGTCAACATTGCAAACAAAACTCTTCGTTATAATAGTTTGAAGGCCTAATTACCCTCCTTTTATTTGTGACCGTCTTCCTTCACAAATAAACTCACATGTGTATTGCAACTTCTCCAATGAAGACGTCTATCACAGCAAGCTATTGTCTAGCAAACAGACCGTAAGAAGGAGGACGAAATGATTAACTGCGTTTGATGGATCGCCTACGGTTCTATCAAACTTCGAAGCTGCAGGGTTATTTTCATCACCATTGGTGCTGACTGATTCTTCTGATACCAACCTACTGATGTTTCTCCTGTGACTAACTGGGATATTAGGTGACCTACTCATTCTGCTGCAAGATGAGTCCGCAGCCGGCATTACCAAGGTTTGGACATTATTTTCGACACTGGTCCACGGATAACTGTGTCCGTACCGTCTTTCGTTCATTACCCACATCTCTTATGATACGTGTAATGCGATAAGCCAGTCTTGCGACAAAGTTGATATCAAAGCTTCAAAACAGTTGTCTGATCACGCTAAAAGGTAACACAGTTTCCATCGTATAGCGCACCTTCTGGGCAACTCCCGGGATGCTTATCTTAACAATTTCGTCCTTTGGTAAAAACTCTCTTGGGCAAATTCCAAACCGTGTCGTCAAAGACAAAATCGACCTCGTATACAGTATTCAGAGCTATTCCGCTTCTTTCTAATCCTCACCTGAAAATATTTGTGGTCGGTTCAGTATCGTTGCTCGGTGCACTCTCCACTGACACCGCGATCCTGCTTTGCCTCCTAGTTTTCAGGGTAATCAGCACATTCGAATATGCTTCATTTGTCTGGGAAGCTGATGCTTAGGATGAAAAGTCCACAGACTTACCAGTGCTTCAAAACTTCGAACTGATATCGTCCTTGTCCTGATGTGCAAGCTTTTGGCTATTTTATTGGCCAACGTTTGAATGTGCATATGGTTGTCGGGTGCCTACGGTCTCCGAATTTCGTAAAACCCTGAACTTGCAACCCATGCTAACAGTCGAAGCTAACAAAACAGCAATTTTAGACTCCTAACGCCATGCTAAGGCTACCACATTGGGGCTTCCAAAGTCCGTACCCCACGTTAAGTCAAAGTGTGGACATGCACTTAAAATCACGTAGCCTGTGAGGTGAATTCATGAAATTCACTTCGCGACTGTCCAGGAACTATGTGGTTAGTTTCAGTGCGCTCATTTGTATGGGTCGTTTTACCGGAAAATATGTAGAGCCATACAGATACTTGCCCGCTTAATTATTTTTAGTTAACATGAGAAGAGGCTGTACAGACGTGATGAAACCACTGATAACACCGTCTCATCTCATATCTTCCCCCGTAGTCTAGCAGGCCGTATTTGTTTTTGATGCCAAACGCGTTTTATCATGCCGAATGAAAGCGAATTAAAACGTATGGAAAATGTCTGATCCATCGACTACTAGGGAAAATGTACGCAACTCTTATACCGAAAACTGCGAAAGGAAGCGGATCACTACCTTGTAGGCCGCACGCTTGAAAAGCACAAAAACTGAAATGCAGAGTTGAAGCGGGTTAAAGTGGCTTTTGATACCTGTAACACAGTGGAACCCAAAAGATTACGCAAATTAAAGAGTCGTACTCCTCTAAAATAAGCACTCTAGTATATTCTGCTGTTAGTCAGCAGAAACTGGAGATGGTGTCGCCGGCTGACGTGTAGACTCACATGTAAAGCGAATATAAGTTTTGTTCATTGGGGGGCTTTACCTGACGTATGGTATTCGCTAGTCAGGGCTGCCTGCATCCCGATTGCGCACCATACAAGGAACACACGAATTGTTCCCTACACGTGTTAAGCAAAGGGTAGCAACAAAGAGAACAAAATACAGGATGAAACCAAAAGCCGCACTTGCTGTCTTCTACTTTTTACGGATGCGATTTGAGCCCGGTAACCTCCAAATGAAGTTTAAGGTGGTGACAAATAGATGGGACACCGAAGATAAATGGTCGGCTGAATTAGGACAACAGCTTTTTGTAAGACACAGGAATGTTACACATACTGTTTCTTTTGATGCCCGTTCCATTTAGTTGATTGGCTGTTAAGAAGTCCACATAAGCAGGGGTTTCTAAACGCCGGCTCACCTGATCATGGGTGAATTCGCCAACTAAAGTCAGAACTCAAAGAGTTCAAGATCACGTGTTGAAACCTCTTTCTAGAACCAGAGACAAGGTATCGACACAAGACTTTTACCAGGATTCATCTTGGTGAGTTAAAGGATGTAAAATTCTAAAGCCCCTACGCTTGAGAGGCTGATACCACCTGTTGATCCTCAGTTCAAAGGAAACTGCAAATCAAGATAATGAAACTGATCGTTAGATACCAAGCTAAATGTACTGAGAAGAAGTTCACTGATGGACATTGGTCTACTTTTTTCCCTATTTTGTGCATTGCCTCGGTACATTTCCTTCTCTACCTTAATGGAATACGAAATACCAGTCATCTTCACTGCATTTCGACGTTGATGCCAAAATCAGGAAGACTGGTTGTGATGATGATGACAAGTTGGTACTCGGAAGCGACACTCATTAGCTGTTTGAATGGTGAGAACGATGGGTCCTTGCAATCGAGTCCGTTACGAATATTGTAATAAACATTGGGAGTGAACACACAGCGTAGTACTCAGTGAATGGTCTACAATTGCCCCGGATTTCAGAATGAAAAAATTTGACGCTATCGCAAGCTACGGCCTAAAGATGAGTGTGAATTGTAATAACTGTACGACTAAGGACCTTACTTGTCTTTATTGCTCTGTCGAGTTTCTCAGTGCTTTCATGACCTGTATTCACGGTTCTGCAGTCTACCCAAGTAAGGTATTTTCTACCCAGGCAGCCATTCCATACTTCAGAAAGGGGGCTGTTGCATTAGAACCGCCTTGCAGGTCACTACCAAGTAGGTAACGAATCTCGCCCGCCTTCCGTATTAAGTGATTAACAAGATTAAATATTTTGCACTCAACCTAGGAAAACAAGGAATCCACTTTTGACCATTCATGTCCTGGAGAACGCATTAACTCTTGCTTTGTCCTGTATTCTTAATCCCTTTAGCACTGATGGCATTAATAACCATCTGAAACGATCCCAAAACATTGTTCAAACCATCTTTAGGTGAAATACTAATTCAAGAAAGCTGCCAACGGCTTGGAATCACTATTTGAACAAGTGATATGAGTTTCTTCGATAAGGAAAATCATGAAAAAGCTTTATATTAATAAGGATAATTGCTTCAAAGCTTAATACGTGCTATTATCCTGTATGGATCACCGCACTTGTCGCGGGTTATTAAATACTTCGCGTTACGTAAGTTGGTTTCGGCTATATCAAACGTTTCTTCGTATTCATAAGCTCCACAGGCTTCCATGCAAAGGAGTAGAGTTTTGTAGTAATTTTTATTTCTAAGGCCACTTTATGTTAGTTTTGTTGATCACAGTGACAACAACTGCGCAGTAAATACTGACCGAAATTATGTGGCATGATTGAAATGGTTCACATGCGACCAGTTCATGGATATGTGTGATTGGAATGAAGCGCTAACTCACTGTCTGTACCAGTTAACTGTAACTTAGGATATGCTGGCGAATAATTGGTGGAGACCTTGGAAACTCTGAGCAAAGACTGTGCTAAGAAAATCGGGTTCACTCAAGGACGTGCAGAATATCCGTCAAAAACTGAGAGATTTTACTGATAGAAATGTCCGGTCCTGCACAGAGTTCAAAGTAAATCGAAATTAATTGAATGTTACCGGTTTTGTTTATCCACTTCTCTTACCTTATTTCTTCGTAATTCGGTGGATTTATAGGTTGTATTGCTGTATAAGAGAAATTCCAAGGGTAACACGTTAAAGCTTTCTAAGGTATGGGAAATTCAGTTAGTGCTTATACTCTTTTCTCAATGGATACCAGCTAAGGTTTCGTTTAATCCAAACAATCTGGGGAGAAAATTACTGTTTTGTCGGGCACGGTACAGTACCTACCTTAATCTGTCCACCTGATTCAGAGTATATGACAAGAATTAAGCACCAACATAAAAGACCCATTATTCCAATTCACCAGACTTCATAGCAACACACATTGATTCGTATAAAGCAATATTAAGGTCGACAAACGTGTACGCGCAGAGGAGAGACATATGTAGTGGTTGGGAAAGTTTTTTTGAATTTGAAAGGTGATAAGGTATGTAAACATATACACCATTGTGACTATGTTCTGTTCGTATTGTCAGGCGTATCCGTCCATCACTTCCACAGTTAAACCTTCCTACGCGGCTTAGATTTACAGTCAGGAATTTATGACTAGGTGGCACATTCCGGTTCGACCACTTAGCCTTCTCCTGAACCGTTCGGCCAACAAGGTGCACTGGCACAAATGGTAGCTTGGCATACACAGTACAAGTGTGAGTCCTCCCAATTGGTGCGAGTTCAGGCAAGGATTTATGGCAGATGTCAGCTAGCGCCATTTTCACTTATGTGTTTTCGAAGAATCAATAAGTGTATGATTGCCCTACCTGTTTGTTTACTGAGTTCACTGTAAGCTTATGACATCGTTGCAAAATCGATTTCCAAGATGTGCCGTTATATGGGTCGGAAGTATAACCGAAATCCTCCTATCTTCATGACAGCCTTGACCCTGCATTGATCGTATTTGCTTTCTACTGTGCATACAAATCCAGTATACCTCATATGTAGTCTTACTGAATATAGGGGGAAAAGTGATTGTGCATCAGAAGCTTCACTTAAACAATTGCATTGACTGTTCGGCCTGGTCATAATTGAACTGTCACACAGTGGAGTTTCCAACTCATTATTGCACTTCATTCCAAATTCATGTATTTTCTGCTTTTTTTGAGTCATTAATTTGTTTTGACCGAAAATGAGCGATGATTTTTTGACCCATCTCTATGGACTCAGAATACCACTACGTTGACTAGTTTATGAGTTCAGCTGTCTGTGTACACAGTTTGTTTTTAATGATTAGAGTGATATAAAAAGTAATATGGCTTAATCACAACTTATAATGTGGATTAATTTGTGAACTATATAATTCACATTTGTGCCGAAGTCCATTGTGTATAGTGGCTGTGAAAACAAAGAGAAACTAAACCTTTTACGTTTGAGCCAGGTACTCAGACCACTGAACTACAACCCTCACTTCAAGTTAAAGTCTTGCTTCTGATGGAACATTTCAACAGTTATTTTCCTTAAGAAGAAAGCCACAAATATGTATTCAGCGTAACTAGTGAGGCTGAAGTGCGACTGTGGTTTTATGGTTTAGGTATCCGACTTTCAGTCGGTCGGTTATAAGTTCAAACTTCGCTCCACGACGTCTTCGTATAATAGATGAGACTCGTTACCTAGTGCACGAATCTGCACATAGTTGAATTATATCGCACTCAGTCACACGGGTTCATCCAATAGGCAGTGGATCATACCTATTCTTTGAGGGCTTATAATGCTACCTGGTTATCCATAACTCGGGAGGTGGACTGGGGTTCAAGCTCGTTGTCTTCTAGCTGAAAGTTGGATGCCAAGACCAGTAAGCTACAGTTACACTCTAGCTCTACTAGTTGCTATAATAATATCTCAGCAATCATTGATTTCATCGTATCTTCATTTACCTTTGTCATAACTTTTGTTTCTCTGACAAACATTCTAGCTTTCAGTAATGTTATCTTCATCTGCCGATCCTAGAAGACCAAACAGACTAAAAAGGTATGTTTCGATAAACAGGATCTTTCAGTTGATGAAGATTTGTTCCATTGTCACAGGATGCTCCTCCGCTAGATCAGACAATCGACTACCTCAACTTTTTTGGTATAGTACTGAGCATGTGTGGATTATTATTTGAGGTAATTTATTTATGCAGTTTATTAAAAATTCCTAGATGAAGTTTGCTGCTTGGTTGGCTGTTGTTTGTGCTTTCATAACATATGCTAACTCAAGAACAGGAGAAGATACAAAGCAGCTAATTAGTGGATTCATGTAACTAATGAAATCTTTATTACTGAATAACAATATTTATAGGTTATCTATCAGTGCTCTTATAATCTGTTATATGCATAATCCACAACCAATGCAGTTACTGTGGTGACTTTTCTTGCAGACCATTAAAATATTTTAAAATACAACTTGGTTACACTTCGTTTTCTGAAATTTTACACGTTTATTGGATATTCTAACTACGTTTCATTATTTTAGGCCGACTTACCACCTCTGCAGCTTCCTGCAGGCTCGTACAATCCAGTGAATAAACGTGTTATATATGTTGGTGGGTTTTGATTTCGTCAAGTTTACTTGCAATAGGTGGCTTGGCAGACCAGGTTGATGTATCTCTTATTCGTGCAGCTTTCATCCCATTTGGGGACATAGTAAGTATTAATATGCCTATGGACTATCAGACAGGTAGGTTTTATTAACACATCGGATTCTTTTCCAGAAAAACACAGGGGCTTTGCGTTCGTTGAATTTGAGGAAGTTGAAGATGCTATGAGTGCTATTGATAATATGGTAAGCCTAACGTATGCACTACAGTTTTACTGAAAATAAAGCGTAGTATTTTTACTGATTTTTATAATAAGTAGTATACAAAGTAACGGGAACTGTTGAATTATTCACATTGTGTGGTGTTGTTCAAGCAATGCTATACTTTTTTTTCATCTTTTTACTTGATTATTGTTTGGACTACGCACAAAGGTTTCTTTCTTGAGATGATAGCACTTAAAACATCAGGACGGGAGAGCACTGCAATAAATTTGTTAACTAAAGTATTTCTTGAAGAAATTCGCCGATGCAGTTATTGATTTTAATCAGGCGTCAGACATAATATAAATCGTACATTATAGCAGCCCGGTGCATATTTATTTGCTACACCATGCGTGACGTCTGGTGATAGCTTGCAATGCTATCTGGTTACCGATGTCAAAGTGAACATCCCCGCCAATACCTGGGGTTATGAACAGCTAGATAAAAAGTGACCCTTCATTGATTGCTTGGTAATCACTGTTCTTGTATTATCAAACGATACACATCAGGAGCATAGCATGGTTTTATGGTTAAGGCTTTCGACTTTGATCCACTGAACCACTACTTCTAATGTCTTTTGCTTACTCTTTCCTGTGAGCCCGATTAATATTTTTGTCATTTCCACAGTAGACCTGAATGATAGTTGATTACGCTCAGTTGCATATGGGCGTTGAGTCGAATTGTCACTGATGCAGTAGGAATGCATTTTGTGATTTTCAGTCAAACAGTGGACGTTTAACTTGGTACTGGTTTGTCAGTTCACTTTTTTACTCCATCAGCACAGTGATCGAAATTCAACATGGAAAAAAAATCAATGGAAATAATAACCCTAAAATTTCCTGAGAAAAGCTTTAATCTTTGCTTCAAGGTCACACAGCAAATCAGTTGAGGTCTGCAACTACGAAATTTCTATCATTTAGTCCTCATTATCCAAAATATTTTTGTACAAAGACGATCCGTACTCTACTTCCAACCATGGAAGTCATTTTCTTTGTTTCATTTTTGTTATCACTTCGTGATGCGCATTTGTGCAAAGTAAATACCCCAGCTGTCTGTCATAGACTCTATTATTTAGGTATTTTTTAACAGTTGTCTAACATCTGCTTTTTCATAAAGAACTGTTTGTTTATGTTTCACCCAGTAGCTTCAATTTTATTGGGATTCAAGGATTTCCGAATTATCAGTATTTGTACTCTCTTGTGTTCAACTTGAAACCTGTAAATTATTCAACGAATACAGGTATTTATCTGCTGGTGAAAACCGGTATCTAGGCTTCACAGATTAAACATAATATCTACAATCTTTCCGTGATACTATTTTGTATATATTTGCATTCTGTAAAACAAAATGAGCGTTGCGTAGTCATATTACTTTAATAATCCATGTACTGTTTCTGTAGAATGAAAGTGAAATATTTGGTCGAACTATTCGGGTCAATGTAGCAAGACCAGTACGCATACGAGAAGGCTGGAGTAGACCTGGTAATATATTATTATCAACGTATTCTTTTTTACCGAATGGTATTACATAGAGGTTTTTAAATTTATTAACGATTGCATCTTACAAATGATGCACGAGATAACTAGTAGAGTTCAACTTCTATTATGCTAGAATTAATAACATCATATTTTTGGGTATTCAGTAATCTTAGCTACTATTCTTATTCATTCGTATTTATATGACACGCGCTACTTATTTTTTAGTATACACCACTTGCAACATGACTCTAACAATATGTAAAATGACTATTTTTAGAGATTTTAACTTGTGGATGTTGTGTTTAGCTCTCAGAGAATATATAATGCTTGTCTAGTGGTACAGAATATATATATATATATATATATATATATATATATATATATATATATATATATAAACGGTTGATTTTCCTTTATCGAGTTATTGTCGAATGGTTTAGGCACTCAGCTTTCCACCAATAAGTTACGAGTTTAAGCTTTGTTTTACCCACCAAGGTTAGATCAACTGTGGTGCCATCAGCCTTCACATAAAGGTCGTGTTTTATTGTCTAGTAGTTGCATAGCTTTATTTCTTTCTTGCTATTTCAGTGAAGATTAATGTTTATCTTGTTAATCCATTTATTTGTCTGCACGCTATATATAGGCGTATGTGATAAATAATCTTTTGAAAATTGTAAATTTATTTTACTGATGAAATCCATCGAAGATAAGGTTTCGTCATACATACCCCTGGAGAATTAAAATTACATACAACGTCTTATAACGTAGCTTTAAGTGGCTACCTACATTTTATATATTAGTGGTAATGTTGAAAATACTTCATGCGTTATATTCTATCTTTAAAATCTTATTTTCACATCTTTATATTCCCTATACCTCTTTTTCTTCCTGTTTCATGGTTGTTTATTGAATTCCTATGAACTGCTATGAATATGTGGCAAGCACCGATGCTCAACTAGTTCACGTCCTATACTGCCTATTTCTGCATTAGTAGTCAGTAAATTTTGATCAATGCTTCACTATACTAATTACTTTTTGTTATAAATTCATATCGCTTATAATAATAATAACATTATTCATTCGAAATTTACTCAAACTAGGCAAAAACATACCTATGTGACTGTTAAAACCTTGTAAGCTCATTCATGTTTGAGAATTCTTTTCAGAAATCGGTTTCATCAGAGGCATTAAGCATCTGGTCAACTTTGTTAAATAGGCGAAAATACTTTGTAAGCTCTTTGTTGTTGGTAAAAGCCAAACTAAAGATCTGTGAAGTTTGAGTCTCTTTACTTTTCTAAAGTGACGATTTTAATCTAACTCAAAAACCAAGTGTAGGCGTACACTAAACAGTGAACCCTACATATTGAAAGGGTTACTGATACTAACTAGCTGGTAAATCGTTAGTTGATGAGAAAAGTTGGATTTATGACCCGTTGGTTGTAGAATGACCAAACCAAGAAGTGGCACCAGGTCTTAAAGTCTCCGACGCTCAACCTTATCCGTGTCGCGTGGTGTAGGCCACCTGGTTTGTTTCATCGAGATAATAGAAATCAATATTTGGAGACTACGTGATATGATTGAAAATCGGTCACAATGGCGCAGGTGCATTCACTCTTTGACGTTTTTCAAAGCCTGAATGTTTCGAGTAACCTTCTTTTTAAAATCCCTTCCCTTCTGATACACCACTGACTACTCTGATCTCAATCTTTTTCTGTCAACGTTTACTTTGCATGCTGCTGTGAAGTATATCAACTTGAACCAATACACCTGTGTCCTAGGTTCGAAAAAGAATTTATCTGTTTCCATCTGGCTATAGAATGACTGTGACTCAACCCCAGACTAAATATATCATTTTTCAACCTTTCAAATTCTTGACACATGTAAACGATTTCGTGTCATTTACCCTTCAAGTCTGGTCGGACGAGAACTGGTTAAAGAAGTATGGTAGCGCGCCATTAGAAGCTAGAAAGTTGGAAGAGCCCGATATTGTCAACCCGTCAGATTCGGTTGAAATGACGAAGACTTGGTAAGTTGTTTTCATGGGGAAGAAAAACTTTTTGAGTTGTATATCGCTGTTTTAATTGTATTGTTCTCAACCTTAAACCGGGGGAAAACCAAACGCTAAGGTTTATTGAACGTTTTTTGTTCGATACTTGGCATTAAAGCACTGAACATTCAGATTGATACCTTAAACACCTTCGGTTTGTCAGATTTTATGTGATTAATTTTAATCACGAGTCGTTTTCACTGTATTTGTTGGCTATTACTGACATATTGAGTTTTGGTTTTATTTGTGGGGAATTCAACGCTTCTAAGGACCTACCCGCATAATTTTGTATACTAAGGAAGACTGTACAGTCTTCTGATGGTGCAATCTCGTGCCTATAAGAAAATATCATAGCTGACATGAAATTATCTCAAATACTTGACATTAATTTTAATTACCTATTAATTATTTTTCTGTCCACACCAAACCGCCTGGAAACTTATCTTCCAGAAAATATTTCCAGATGTTATAATGCTGTTTTTCACGAGAATAGTGGTACAAAAAGATGAAACTAAAACAGTATGCTATAAAAACATTTACAGCACTCACATTATATTATATTGCAGCATACAAATCATAGTGTGAAATAAAATTTTCAGTAGGTTATCAGCCCCACTGCTTGCGTGATGGCTGATAATGCAATTGAAATGTTCAAACTTGTACAGATGAAACCGTAACCTGTTGAATGAATACTGATTTCGTTAAACCAATTTCATATTTCAGAGTGATGTTAACACTGATAAACTGTCTGCCGTGCTAAGAATAAGCTGAATAATCTCATCACTAAGCATCTTAAATTATTTTATTAGTCTATACTATTCGATTTAAACAAATACGCTTTGCTTTTGGTTATATCAGTATGGATTGTGCAACGCCAACAGGTTTTGACTACACGACTTCCAGTGTTTACCTAAAAGGCACATATGAGATACTGCGAAAGTGAGTGGTTGCTACGCTTTTTTGGACTAAACACAATTTTTAAACTTAGACCTGTTTATGGAGGACAGTAGGTTTGTTAACACCTCAGGGTTTGTGAAGATTTAGGGACCAGATCTCATGTATTATTACCACTTTCATCTGTTACAGAGTATTCTCCCTAACCGCTTTGATTCTAATTATTATTAGCTGACTCATATCGTCAAGTGATTTCAACTAACTGTCACGATTCGTCTTTCGAAAACTAATGGTTTCGGGTAAGTCACTGACGAGATGCATTGTAAATCAGTCAAATAACCATCCACCATATACATCGGCTCACTTTAGCTATTGAGTTCCGCCAGCTGATTTCATTAGTTTCTAGCACTTCATATCGGTTTGACATCACCTAAATAGTTTGTTATGTTTCTCATTAATTATTTAACTTTTTATTTATGTGTATTTACCTTTTCGGTTGCTGCTCCCAGTCATGTCAACAATGATTGTATACTAATCCACCACTATAATTTTGCATTTTATACATATTATGGGAACAGAGTGATGAAGAGATGCGGACCAAAAAACAAAAGCGAAATCTCCCTCGAGTCTTTTTCGACATTCGAATCGGGAATGCAGATGCTGGTCGTATTGTAATGGAGCTTCGATCAGATATTGTTCCTAGAACTGCTGAAAACTTTCGTGCCCTGTGTACAGGAGAACGTGGATTCGGCTATCATAATAGTAGTTTTCATAGGGTTATACCTCAATTTGTATCCTTTACATATAGTGTTTGGCAAGTATTTCTTTAATTAGCTCATTTTTGACTCATGCTTTAATGCATTTATTCGTACGGTTGAATTGAAAAATCTGTTGTGATATAATTCTGACAAATATCGTTTTGTTCAACTAATGGTCGCAATAGTATTCAGCTATGTAAGTCGAAGTGGAAACCGTATTAACAGTAGGATGTCACAACTCAGTTACTCGTAGATGTGTCTACCGAAAATAACTGTCTTAAATATTCGTACTTGTACTTGCTTGTAATTACGTTCTATGAACTGTATGGCTTAATTGTGGAACTTTCATTTTCTTCAGCAATAACTTCCATATGAAGTGAGTTATCAGAATTTTAGCCTGAGGGATTCACTAGCCTACCCTTATGAAGTTGTGTGTGATTGGCAGTTCCCTTTGATTGATGTGTCATTGACTACACAGATTTTTCTACTACCTGACCTCTGACTTTGTGCTTTATCATCTTTCTTGATAACTGATAGGTTCAGTCTATACACATGTACATTGCTGACAGATGTGAATACCGAACTTGCATAAATTCTCTGGTATTCTTTATGTTTCTAATATCCAGGATCTGTAGATTTTCAAGACAGAACCCATGTCCTTAGCTGTCCATATATATTGATATGAAACAAAATGTTGTGACGTTCAACTACCAACTGATGTTCATGTGAAGGGAAGCAATGAAAAAGATCACTTTGTTCAGTGTAGAATGTAAAAATCTTGGATATAAGAAACATAAAGAATACCAGAGAATTTATGCAAGTTCGGTATTCACATCTGTCAGCAATGTACATGTGTATAGACTGAACCTATCAGTTATCAAGAAAGATGATAAAGCACAAAGTCAGAGGTCAGGTAGTAGAAAAATCTGTGTAGTCAATGACACATCAATCAAAGGGAACTGCCAAACACACACTACTTCATAAGGGTAGGCTAGTGAATCCCTCAGGCTAAAATTCTGATAACTCACTTCATATGGAAGTTATTGCTGATGATGAACCTATCTCTATAAGGAAAATGAAAGCTCTACGATTCAACCATCCAGTTCTGAGCACGCAACACAATTAAAATCTTCAAATTGCCAAAATTGAGTTCATCATGTCTACAGTTTTTCCTATGCATTGTTACACCTTTCTTCAAGAATTCAGTCAGTATTTATTAAACTTGTAATATGCTTTAGTCAAAGAAAAAATGTGCAATATTCTTAACTATATACGTTATATCAGATGTGCCAGGGTGGAGATTTTGTGAAAGGTGATGGAACAGGAGGTAAATCGATATATGGACGAAAATTCGATGATGAAAACTTTCAACTTCGACACGAAGGTTTTGGTACGTAAACGACCATTAATTTGATGCTATTCGTGAATATCTCTTTGGTATATTCTAGGGCTTTAGAGACCGATGTAATGTAGGAAGATTTATCGGTACATGGGTTTGCAAACTGCGCGTTCAGACATTGGGAATTGGTGCTGAGATTGAAAATTCGTAAATCGATGGATATGGTTGTTTGAAAAGCTGGCTCTTATAATGCAGTTACAGCATCAATAAAAATCCTTAGTAAAGAAAAATCACCATCTAACACACAGAGATTACCATATATATATATATATATATATATATATATATATATATATATATATATATATATATATATATATATATATATATATATATATATATATAATTTTATTCTTACATGTTTGCAGTCATAAATCTTGTTATCCCTACTTTATACCACCCGTATAAATGTTTTTAGGTGTACTTTCTATGGCAAATTCTGGACCAAATACGAATGGATCTCAGTTTTTTATTTGTACGACAAAGTGTGATTGGTAAGTTTTGTTGACTTTATGTATGTCGATATGATTATGTTTTCATGCATCTACTAGAGCTGTGAAAAGTTGTGCTGATACAATGCCGCTAAGATCGTCAGTGATTACTAATCACTTATAGTTTAGGTCATCCAGCTTCCTAGCTTGCAATCACTACGAAATGCGTTTCAAATGAATTGTTCTGAAAGTTCAGTGGTACCGCTAACCAGTTACAGTAAGTAGACCTTCCGCATTGTGGGCAGCTGAGAGGTGTCAACCACCAGCACACTCTGGACAGGTATACCCAACTCAGTGAAACATAACTTACCCTCCTTACCTTTGTCTTCTCCTTTGCTTGTTACAGATATTAAACCTCTTACAACTTCCTCAACCTCTCACCCTGCGTCCATTGCCCACAGATAATCCAAGCCATCGAAACACCATTCTTAGTCTCTTAAGACCCCGCTGTAGGTTTTACACTGAATTCTTCAACGTTCGAACCTTACGCTATTCAGATAGCAGGCATTCTCTACTAGAACTTTAAAATCTTCAACCACGTATGGTGTGTCTCTGAGACACGAATACTCGTTGGTGTAATCACAGCATTAGGTCGTAAAGCAAAAAGCGCACTCCTTTACTGGATATCATTCAGCGGCCGTTTGTGTGTTGTCCAAGTGAATGGATTTTTAAACTCTAGGAAGGATCGTGTGAACAGCCGATACCTATTCGTAATCTTCACCTACTCAACCACCAACTACAGCTCGGATGATGAATTCTATGAGAAGCTGTCAATTCCGCTGCAGAAAGCAAAACGTTCGGATTTAACCATAATATCAGGCAAATTCAACGCTCAATTAGGAACGCTGAGCCGGTCGACGAGGGGTATTTACAGAATCCTATGCCAACGAACCGAAAACAGTGGTCGTCTGCTGCAATTCCATCTTGGCAATCACTTGTTTCTGGCCTGCACTAATTTCAAGCATAAGAGGAAACACAATATCTGCCATGGCACCCCCTGACATCAAGCCAACAATGGACACAGACAGATCACATTGCTATGAGTTATCGTTGGGGGATTGCTACTCTTTCTGGAGTGCCAGTTTATGACCTGAGACAATGCAAAGTAGCTGAGAATGATGGTTTATTAGCATAATTTTTCAACAGTGAATGTAAGAAATTGCTGAATAGAGTAAGGGCGATACTAGGTAATGAGCATGGGCACCAAAGGTGGTGCGGTTAGACTAGTCTACATCACTAATCATTCCAGTTTCATGAAACAAGAGGAGTTTTCTTGTGAAAAGCAAAAAAGTCAGTTTAACTAGCATTGTCTTGAAGATCCACGGGTCCATAGCTAACTCTCGCCTAGCTGTAGCTCGAGAACAACAAGCCCCAGAAAACTAGACAGGTTTCCGATCTGGCATTGGATGCTTCGATCATATGTTCACCGTCCCACAGGTCTTCGAACACAGGCATACTTACCGGGGATAATTACTTGCCATATTTCTCGACCTGAAGGCGGCATTTGATTCTGTCGACTGTGAGGTGTTGTGGCTGTATCTAATTGTGAAAGGACTACTGAAAAAGTACATACCGCTAATCAAAGCCTTTTACTCGAACGCACGCAGCCGCGTTAGGGTATATGGAGAGTTGTTATGTCAGTTGATAGCAATTAGTGGTGTAGTATAGATGCTCGCTGTCACCTTTTCTGTTTCGTTTCATTATAGATGTAATGATGGAACTAACTGTGAGAACCTCTGACTTTGCATGGATTGACCTACTCGCTGCAGGGAAGCTGTTTGGTTTGGAGCACGCAGACAACATTGTCCTGCTAAGTGAAAACGCTGACGCGATGCTAGGTCGAATGCGTTGACCACTACACTTTCTTAGGGAGTCGCATCAGCCCTAACTAGCTGGTCACTGACAAAATCTCATCTCGAATACAGAAGATCCGTTTCGTGTCATCTCCATCTCCGACTGATGAGATAATCGACTACCTATTTTAAAAGACCAGTATACTGCGCTTCACTCCATTCTGGCCTGCTATACGGCTGTGAGACATGGCCATCAAAAACGGAAGATGATTAGGCGGTTATAGGTTCTTGACCAGTGTGGCCAGACGGAAAAAATGGCACTAGTACATGGGGTCTCTGACTTCCAGTCTGCGTTTGTTGTGTAGGGATCCTCGAGACAATAGGAGTCAGTGGTTGGAGACCCTCTGTGAAATGACTGAAAATCAGTCAAAATGGTGTAGATTTACTTACTCGCTGGTGTCTTCTAAAGCTTGATCACTTTGATTAAACCTTCATTTTTAAATTCCTTCTTTCCCCATACACCTTTTGACCACTTTGATATCAGTCATTACTATCCACCTGTTCTTAGCATGCTGCTATGAAATGTGTTATTAACTTGAGTCGATGCACATGCTTGCGAGATTCTACATTGATTTTACGTCTGATAATAGATGTCTCTACCTAAGCTGCTTTCGTAAGGCCGTCAGACCACCCTTTTGTGATGAGCCAAGCAATCTCTATTGCCTGCTATTCACATTATGGTTTTGGGAAGTGATCGTCGAGTACTCCAAGAGGTTTCTTTTCCCAGCCAGTTAGTAATAGTAGTTAAGATGTAAAACGACCAGAACCGACAAGCTTTTTAGCCGCTTGTGTGATCAGTCAGCGAAATGTTCATTATGTTCACAGTGGTCACAACAATTATAAAATAGTTAATAAGGTGACTTGAATATT